TTAAAAATATGATTCCAAATCGCGACATAAGATCTTATGTCGCGATTTGGAATCATATTTTTAAACAAATAATTATATATATATATATATATATATATATATATAATCTCAAGTTGCTTTCTCAAGTATGAAACCTGTTTTTGCTGATATCTAATAGTGAAAACCAGATATACCTTTCATATTTTGTAGACATAATCCACAAAATATATCCAAATAAAATAATTTATGTATTGTTTGTTTCATCTCAGTAGATACCAAAAGCTTTACAAATTGTAAGTGATCATGGATTTTTTTGGCAAACAGAGACCTTTGTTCCTGCAAAAAAAATGGTGTATCAAAAGAACGGTTTTTCACATGACATCACTTTTATTTTAACCATGTTCACTTCTTTGGCAATGTTTATTGTTTGAAAAAATGATAATTAGAATTGTAATAAAATCTAAACATATGATGAAGGTGAATGCATTATTTTTTCATTCTTGAGAATTTACAGCAAAAATATTAAACACTATTTAATTATTAGATTGCTTTATTATATTTACAACATTCTAAAAACTAATACAATTGAAACTGATGTTATGTAATAATTATCAATTACCAATTTATAAAGGAATAAATATGAAAACAATTTTTTATTCATTAAATTTATAAACATTTACTAAATTATTAAAATATGTGAACCAACTATAAGGAAATCCTTATCATTTTACTAGCAGCATGACCCGGCGTTGCCCGTGCTCGATTCAAAAATCGTACGACTCATACAGCAATCACTATCACTTGACTTAAAATATTTTTGCCCTTCCTTGCCTTTAAAGGAGTGCCCTTTGCCGTGCTGATGTTGCTACATGCCTTACTTCTTGCCTATCTCACTGCGAATTTTTTCTAAGCTCTATACTAAACATTAAATCTGTTACAAAAGAACTAAACAAAATGAACACAAAACTATCAGCTTTAAAAAACTACTCATAACTGGAAAAACTGAATGAAAAAATGTTAACAACAAATACTTTTTTTACACCCAACCCAGTTCTGCGGAATCAGAATCAACATTGAGTTTAAGCAAGCGAATGAGCCAATTGGAGTAAAGTGCCATGCAGATTTAAATTTTTCCCCACTTGTGACGAATGCAGCTATCAAGTTTTTTGCATGCTAGCATGCTAGTTAACATTCGTGTCAGTCAGCTGTTGGCTCTCATGCTGGCCAGTAGAATCTTCCTGCCTATTCGTGGCAGCCAGCTATAGGCTCTCACTCTGGCCAGTACAAAATGGCTGCAAACTACATGAAAACTGCCATAGAAGCATGAAAAAATTGATTATTTTCACTATCAATGGGAGTTGGGAAATGCAAAGTTGGTCTTGGTCTTCCCACTAACTTGGAGCATGTGCATGTAAATTTTGGTGCAAATCTGTTGAAAATTGCAGCTGTGCATTCGTTACACACACACACACACACATACATACATCCTGCCTTTTATAGATAGAGATGATAAAGTTCAAATTAATTAGCAATTAGCTAACTATTCTAATAAACAATATAATAAATAAATAGTATTTAGTATTTTTGTTGTCAATTCTTAAGAACAAAGAAAATATATAAATTCACTTTCATATGTTTAGGTTTCATTCCAATTCTAATCCTGGCTTTTCAAAACAAATTTTACTGAAGAGTGATGGTAATTAACCCTTTCAGCCCTGACCACCACTTTACCAGTGGTAGAGAAAAATGACATAATACCCAGCCACTGGTTGAACAGCAGTAGAGAGAAATGATTTAATGCTCAGCTACTGGTTGAATGGTGGGTAAACACTTGTAACTAGTTTTATATCTACCATGAAACATTACTTACCAATTATTTGTGAATTTTGACTCTGGCACTCAGGACGAAGAGTTAAAATTGTTGAGGAACACGGGGCTCAAAGGGTTAAAGTAAAAGTGGTATCATGGGAAAAAACAGTCCTTTTGACACTGTTTTTTTTTATGGGCACAAATGTCCATGTTTGCCAATATATTTTTCTGTTTTAATTTTTGAAATGTATTGAAATAATTTATATTTTCTTTCAGGTTTTAATTTTGGTTTTAATTGCCAAAAAATAGCATAAAGTTATTTGTAAAAAAAAAAGAAAAAAAGTAAAATTTATCTTTATGTATTTACAGTGGGTTTAAAATTGTTTTTAATACCACTTTTTGTCATTAAAAATTAGGTTCAATTACACCATTGAAATTGATGTCTGCCAATGGAAAATTTAAACTCTGTGTATAAAAAATCTTCCAAATATAAAGTAGCCATTATAAAAATATAGAATTCAATGAAAATTAGTTAATTTCATAATTACTTATATGGACTGCAAAAACAAACAAAAAAAACTTTTATTGAAAATATAAAGAATTTTTGTTTCAGCAGGAGTTTCTTACCTGCCAATTTAGTTTAAAGATCAAGTAGGTATTGAGTAAACTTTCTTATCCATGTGATAAAAGACTACTGAAATATGGATGGCCCAAAATGATAAAACCTGATATTACCCACAATGACAATTGTATATTCATAATATTAAAACATGTAACAGGAAACACTCTACTATTAATAATATAATGCAGATATTTTCTAATTGGTACTAATAAGTAGATACATGAAAAATAAAATATAGAATTTACTTTGGGTGGCTGAAAAGTTATCACCCTGATCCACTTTCCAAAATCTGACCAAACATTAACATTTTTTTAGGAAGGACTTCTTGGTTGGGACAGGAACTTGTCAACACTTCCTTGTATTTTTAATCGCCATTGGAAAATGATGTAATAATTATTGGTATGAAACTCAAATTATTGAACCAAGTTTTGGTTGAAGTTTTTTTCCCATTAATATGTGTAAATATTCTTATGAAAGGCACATAGTTATGTTTTCTTGGTACTCTTAATGAAATGCCTCATCATTGGCATATGATTGGGCAGGTGGTTAAATACTTGAAAAAATCCTCAGTCCTATGACCAGGTGTTGTCTTATTGTCACTGTGTAACTGAGCACCTGACCACTTCTGGATTGAAAGCTGGAGATGTATTCATTCATATGTAGCATGTCTTGGGCAGTAAAACTGGCAGAGCCAACCCTTTCCAGGTCAAACCATGCCAATGTCATCCATCTTGAAGGCTTGTCTTCATCACAGACACATGGCAGTTGATTCCATCAAGGGGAACCCTTAGCACTGTCAGTTGACTTCTGTTTAGAAAGCCTTCCACCCAGTGATGTCATTACTGCATTTGTACTGCTTTTCATAAAATTCATTAGACGACTGTAACACAAGTATAACCAATTCCTATATCCACCACACTGCCATCCCAAAGGACATTAGCGATGTGTTTTTGGAGCCTTTTGTATGCAATGTTAGATGGTTTTTGGCATTTGGTTATGATGGCATGTTCATACCACTTTTGGGCATGTGGCCAAGTGGTTAAAATATTCGCATTCTACCATGAAATCCGGGTTTGAATGTCACCATGGTTCATTTGTCAAGAAGGAGACTTCCTAATGTTATTGAACAGTGGAGGGAGTCTATCCCAGCATGCAGCACCTTTCAAAAATGCCTAAAAACTACATCATGGTTTGAACCAATCCTTGTGAGTGAAATTGGCTAGACGGAACCCTTGGATGCCATCAATAGCTGTGCTAGCACAAAGTCACAAGTCATCATGGTTGAGGGCTTGAGCATGCTGGCCTTGTTCAAATTGTTCATCTTGTTAGATAACACACTTTCTCAGAAACTGTAACTAAGGTCTGCTCAGCATAGTTGCAGTATCAACCACAGGTGGGCTCTGTGGGTATTGAATAAACACAAACATGCTTGAGCAAGCATCTTCAATAGGGATTGGCTAGCCACCCTAGTAGTGAGGTATCCTTGAATATGAGTGACCAGCTATATATACATACCACTTTTCATACTTTAGTATTTCATTTTTGATATGAGTAATTGTCAGCATTCTTGTATTATTTTGAACTATTGTTCTCATGTGGATGACAGTAATACATGTTTATCTCTTATTAGCCAATCAATGGACACCCGATGATGACCTGAGGGTACTTAGTCGAAATGTTGTCTATAATAAGATTTATATCAACCAAGAAGAGAACAATAGTTCAAAATAATACAAGAATATTGACAATTACTCATCCCAGAAACGAAATACTAAATTACTGTAGTTATTGCTTTCTCTTTTTGTAGTTTTTAATTATGTTCTGCCATAATGTTTTGGGTAAAAAAAAGAGATCTCTTTCATTTGGTGGTGTGTTCCTCAAAATTTAATTGAATACTTTCCAGTCTCGATAGTCCAAAAGTGTCACTGCATCCTTGTAGGTGACAAATTATTTTCTACCCTACAACTCCTTTTCCCTAGACAAATCATTGCAAACCTCTCGCCATTCTATTGCTATTTCCATGAAGTGTTCAAATGAACTACATCTCTTAGTTCCATATTTTCTAACCTTCACAGCTAAGACCCACCATACTACACACATTGTAGTGAACTACCCTCATTCCCTTTGTATTCCATTGGTGAGATATAAGTTTCACTTGAGCAGCTTATACCCATGAATTGCTGCTTTGTGAAACCAATTCCCAAGAGGATGCTTCCCCAATCACTACAATCTTAATCTGTTTGTCTAGGGTTAATCGTTATCTTTCCCATATATCTGTATAAACTGGTTTTTACTCTGAAAACCTTTCCCTTAACTGGCTATAGGGCCTTGATAGGGTGAACATCAAAAAAGAAAAAATTAGTTCAGTGATTATTTTAGGGTAGATACTCTGTTCTTTATTGAAAGAAACTCATCTATTTTCTTATCCTTTTTGTTTTTCCTAAATTTCCAGATTTTGTCACATGAACAATTTTGAACTTCTCTCCAAGACGACATTGGATCACAAGATTCGGTCTTGCAGCTTTGATAATGATGGCGGACATATCGCTGTGGGCTTTGATGATGGATCCTTTGCTGTATTGAAATCTAGGTGATATTTTATTTTTGCTGTATTGTATCCTTTTGTTGGTTTTCTGTTTATATTGCTGCTTTTGTACTTTCATAATATACTTTGTTTTTAAAAGTATTTTTTGTATTGGTTTAAGGAAATCTATAACAAAGTGGAAAAGTTTTTTGTGGCATGTTTAATCCTTTAGAATTTTATAAGGCTAAAGTGTTTATATTGGTTTACATTTTACTTTTTATGATCTGATTTTTGCAGACCATTTTATTTATGCACAGAAGTAATATACACAGGCTTTTATGATTTGTATGACACTATTTTGATAGCAGACTCAGTAAAAAAAAGCTTGAGGACCTCCTAGATATGGTAGTCAAGGAATGAGAGAAGGAAACGCTATCAGTTTCAGGGTGTATGTTTTATGATGTCAACAAACACTTGTTGCCACTGTCTGATGCCAACAAATACTGATTGTCACTTTCGTGAATGCTCATTGTAGTAGAGACTTTGTAATCACAGATACAAGTATAGTACGCGATTGAAAAATACTGGTGTCAGATGCCTTCAAATAATCTTTCACTAATGTTGTAGTAAAGAAAAGACTGTCAACTGATAGTAGCAACAGCAATAAATTTCTTGTTTGTCAGCCGCAACAATACTGGTGTCAGATGCCTTCAAATAATCTTTCACTAATGTTGTAGTAAAGAAAAGACTGTCAACTGATAGTAGCAACAGCAATAAATTTCTTGTTTGTCAGCCGCAACACTTGTAACCAAATTGCAGTTCAAATGATAGTCTAACGTAACAGTCCAACACACACCGTAGAAATGACAAATGGGGTCACAAATCCAACCTTCACTTCTCGCGAACAACAACGCGTGTTCGTTCTTCAGCTCAAAAAAATCATCTCCTTTTATAAGTGAAAAACGACTTCTGTTCACCAAGAGAATTTTCTGATTGGTCACACCATTCAGGGGAGGGAAGAACATTAGCATAGCTTCTAGTCATTGATGTAGATTTTTGCTGACTACTTTTTGATAATTTTTCTTCGGCTGATCACACACAAAGCACAAACTTTTTTCGGGGTACCTGATTATCTTTTTCACTACAACTAATAGTACTTGTTCAATAATACTTGCTAGAATAGTAATCTGTATAGTGAAATAGTATAGAAAATAGTGGTCCATATAGTAATAGAGGATAGAATAGAAATGACGATTTGTATAGTATAGAGGATAGACTAAGAATAGGGATCTGTATAGTATAGAGGATAGACTAGGAATAGCGACCATTTAGACATCACATGACTTTCTATATATGTGTTTCCTCTATGGTCACGTGATCCACTTAATTCAATAATGGGATTGCTTGGATTTGCTCACTGGCGATCTATGTTCAAACTTAAGTGTCAGCAGTGACTCTTTATTCCTATTTAACAGTATCATGGGTATATCAAATACCTCAGAATGGAATATCACTTTGCATAGTTCATTACCCCCTTAGAATATCAAAGGATGGGAGAGTTATCATAGAAAAGAGACTTATCATGGAAATTTTTGACTCTTATACAAATTGGACCTATCAATGTGAAAATTTAAAATCAACTCAACCTTTAAACTAAAAGCAAAATATCCCCCATTAAAGAAATCATAGCATGAAATAACTTTAAAGATTGTTAAGAAAAAAAGAACATGATTGTTAGCAAAAAGGGCAACCCAAGATATGAGCTACAAATTGGAGATGTCAAAATCAAGCAGGTACAAAAAGTTAACTATCTGGGAAGTGTTTTAACAGATGACAGAAAATGTGACTTAGAAATCTGAAGACAGATTGGAATAGCAGAAGATGCCTTCCAAAAGCTAAATAAAGTATTAAAAAAAAAAATGAAAATTCCATTAGAAATAAGACCACTGAAATGTTATGTAATATCAATCCTCCTTGCAGATGAACAGGAAACATGAAGCAACATATATTATTCTACAGAAGAATACTGAAAATAATGTGGTCTGAACATGTGAACAATGAGGAAGTTTTTAGGAAAATGGTAATGAATAGGGCACTTTTACTTAGAAAGAGAAAGTTAAAATTTCTAGGATGATGATGAAAGAGGGCTTGGAAAATTTGACACTCACTGGACATATTGAAGGAAGCAGCAAGTAACCTACTGAATAAGATTGTGTAAATGGATGGCAGAATAGTTCTGAAGGTATAGTAAAGAAGCAAACATTACTTAGAGCTATGAAGGATAGGAAGTTGTGGAGAGTCATGATCGCCCAAGTCCTAAAGGGACATGGCACAGAAAAGAAGTATTTTGATATAAACATAAGTCTTATTTTGTCAATAACACTTGTATTAGTTCCTGACCATTGAGAATTCCTTTATTCCTGATTTTTAATATATTTCTATAGCAAAACATTTACAATGCATTTGTAGCTCTAAATTGATATTTGCATTATACATATAATAATACTACTCTTTTAATAGTATATTTGTTAATTCCTGGCCATTGACAATCCTTTTAAATTTTCAATGCCTTTCTATAGGAAAATTGCATCTTCACATGATTTCCTTTTGGCTAAGCAATATGGCTTCTGTTTTGCCAGGTTTATCATTGATGTGGTCTTCAGTGAATTCATCTACCAAGCTTTAGATAAGAATGTTGAAGTTGTAGATATCTCAAAGACATTTGATAGGGTTTGGCACGTTGGCTTTCTCCACAAGCTTATAGGCTATTGTGCCATGGAATGAATATTTGGCTTAATCTGATTGTTCCTAATAAATCATGTAATGAAGGTAGTGTTGAATGGGTATGCTTCCAGATCATTTCATATTAACGCAAGAGCTCTATCCTAGGACTTATACTACAGTTCAAAAGTTTGAGGCCACACCTTGTAATTTTTTACATTGACCCCCAAAGTAGTTATTTTGTACTTTAAATAAGAGAAAATTATTATACATGATTGAAAAAAAAAAGTGAGACATGATTTTTTTTATTATGACAAAAAGAAAAAAATCATTTTATGATTAAATTTTGCTCGCATCAAAATATCCTCCTTTAGCTTTGATTACTGCAGCACAAATTTTTGGCATTCACTGCAAAAGTTTCTTAAAGCATAAGTTTGATAATTGATTCCATTCTTTTTTCAATGACTCTAAGAGCTCTTTTTAATTTTTTTTCACTCTTCTGTCAAGTTCCTCCCATGCTAATTCTGGTGGTGGCTTCAAACTTTTGAACTGTAGTGTATATTGTTTTTTCATTAATGATCTCTACAATGTTGGCTGGAGCTATAGAATACACTGACTGTGTCTCCACAAAGGAGTAACACCTCCCCAAAGAGGCCAGCTGTTTGCCATGGGTGATGACCTGTGATACCTGAGGGTGGGATCCTGGTAGTTGAGGACTTCAGGCATTAGGTAGAATGCTTGTGAATTCCAACACACTACTTTGGCCCTTACTTGGACTAGACGGTTAGTCAGAAGCTTGATCTGATCAATTGGCTAGCCATGTCAAGCCCTAGTACCAATCAATCCACCAAAAATACAATAACTGCACAAAAAAAAACTAAAAAAAAACATACACACACCAACGAAATTTAATCAAATTGGTACTAGAAGGCAGTGGCTAAAATGTATCATTAAAAATTAAAACTTATCTTCAACCTCACAGGTGTAGTGGAATGAAAGAAATTTTTATATAAATACACCTGAGTATACCATTTTTGTATCCATGAGATGATTAGGTGAATGAGATTTCCCCCAACATTCCACCCACAATAGGGTCTCTGAGGAGGGTGGGGAGGAGGGATGGTGAAAGAAAAAATATATTTAATTGCCATATAGGAATAAAGTGTTGCTGCTGACACTTGAGTTTGAACATAGATTGCCAGTGAGCAAACACAGGTGATCCCATTATTGAATTAGGTAGATCACGTGACCATAGAGGAAATGCATTAGTAGGAATTAGCGTGAGATCTAATTGATCACCACTTCTATCCTCTATTAGTATATGGATCACCATTTTCTAGACAATCTTCTATTACAGTGTAACCCGGATATAAGAGAGATTTTCTCTGGTTCCAAATTAGAGCCTGTGTTAATGTATATAAATTAGACCAAACCCGGATATAAGAGACTTTGTCTCCGGTCCCGACAACTCTCTTATATCCGGGTTACACTGTACTATACAGTTTGCTATTCTCTATAGTGTTCTCTATTTCTATACTACTCTCTATACTAATCCCTATAAGGATTACTATTCGGATCACTGTTTGGTGGTAACTTTTTGAATGAGTGTTATTGAGCAAGTACTATTAGTTCAAGAGTTATTTGAAGGCATCTGACACCTGTATTGCTTTACTATAGTTGTATCTGCGATTACAAAATCTCTACTACAACGGGCATTATAAAAGTGGCAACAAGTATTCATTGACATCATAAAAGTGGCAATGAGTGTTGAGTCACTAAAATAATATGGCAATCTGAATCAAGTTCTGATAATGAATTGGAATCTCATGATCGCTTACCACAGTAATGTAGTAATGGAGTCCCTTGAAGAAAGTCCTAATACAAAACTATCACCATTCATAATTAAAAAAATAATATACTCCCAAATTACTCCTATATCTGTTAAAAAAAACAAAATTTTTCAACCAGGCTAAGGCGCCAAAAATAGTCTGAAAACAGTGGTGGAGACACAGGGTTTTGTAGACTGGCATATGACACCCATCCCCTGAAATAATTTATGACCCCCCAGTTTTGTCCCCCCGTCAGAAATTTTCTAATAAATTGTCGGGAAATTTGTGAGTAGGAAAAATAGCAATGTTTTCAGCTTTTGATTTGAACTGATTATTTTGTGGTATTGGATTTTGTCTTGGATCATACATGTAAACAGTAACGTACCGGTCAGTAGAGTAAAGTAGAGGTAGAGCATGTATGAAAATTTAGCTACAGGTAACCATTCAGCATAGGGTGAATCAGGGTCATTGGGGTGAGATTTGTGCGGACTGCCCCGGGTGACTCTAGCTACGTCA